CTTATGACTGTTTCCAGTTTTTATTTCACTCTGGTCTGGTGAGTGAGTGGTACTTCCGCCATCGCATTTCCCCAGTTTCCTCCGTGGTTCACGATTCCCCGTGCCCGACTTGCCCCAGTTTTCCTCCCCACGATAAGGACGCGTATTGGCCGCGATGCGCTTTACGGTGGACGTGGCAGGTGGAGCCTTCCTGCTCGGCCCGCGCTCGCCGTGGGGAGGCCGTCACCTGGAGCCTTTGTGTGTTACAGTGTGACGGGGACGCGAAGGGCAGGCGAGACGGGGCGAGACCCAGGCCGTATGCCGGCCTTATGGTGCCTTATGGCGGCCCCGCGCCGCGCCGCGCCGCGTTGTCCAGTCCCCCTCCCACACGGCGCACAGCACACACGGGGAAAATGCGGGCAATGTTAGTTCTTACCTTATCGCCTGGTCGCCCCCTCCCCTCCCCTCCCGCGAGGTGGGGGACTGATAAGGCGACGATAGGCGCTTGCTCACCTGGCGTAGACCTGGCGGGGGCCCCGCCTAGCCCCGCCCGGCCCTCGGTCGCGCCCGCCGCGCTCCCCCTCGCTGACTGAGCCTCACGCCGAGTCCGACCCGACCGAGTCAGTGGTGCCATGTCGGTGGCGGCGGACGGTCGGGTCGCCCTCGCGGAGTGCCCCGCGCCGTGGCCGCGGTGGCCGCGGTCGCGCTCGTCGGGCGGGGGCGCGGCCTGGGTTCGCCTCCCGCCCGCGCCGAGGAAAAACCCCGCGGGAAGGCGGCCGCGTGCGTGCAGTCCAAGTTTGAGGTTCCCTCTTCGCAGTGGTGCGTGCGTCGTGACGCCGCGGCAGGACAGCGCCACAACGCCAGGTTCGTTTCGCTCTGCGCTCTGCACAGCGTTTTGTTTTTGTTTCTGGGCGCGCCTCTGGCACGGTCTCTGGCACGGCCTTTACAACAGGCGGTGCCGGGCGGTGCCGGAATTCCCCGCCGCCTCCTTATCAGTCGAAACTATTTACGTGACGAATGGCGAGATCTGGGAGCGGGCCCGGCTCGAGATTAGGCGACTCGCGGTTCGCGGCTCGCGGCTCGAAAACGCGCCAAAACCGTCAAAAGACGAGCGGCGGCGCCGAAAAGTGCGGAACACCCTAGGGCTCCGCTCTGCGCCGCTCTGCGCGCTTCCCGGGCGACTCGATCGTTTCGTTTTCTCGGAAATTGGAAACTGTTTTGGAGGACCTCTGGCCGCGGCTTGCCGTTATCAGGCGCGCTCCTTTCTGTAAGCCGCCATCGGATTAGGCTCTGAGGCGGGCTGTGCTGCCGCGGCCGTATATCTCGCGGGAAGGCGACGCGCTGTACTGCCGCGGTGCGTCATCACCGGAAGGGGAGGGAAGGTGCCATTCGTTCTTCAAAACTATTTTCTTTGTCAGTTTTTTTTTTGTCTGGGGGAGATTTTGACTACTTTGGAAGCTTCGCAACACAGTCCAGGCGACCTGATGGCGAGTCGAGGCAAAGCCCGGGGGGAACGCGTGGCGCTATACTCGAGCTGGCGATTGGTTGAACGTTTCCCGACGTTTCCCGAGCCGAGTCGAAATGTGAGTGTCCCTGCAGTGTGCCTGCGGACTGGTTGCTCCGCTTCCCCCTCGCCGCCCGCCGCCCTCTGCAGAGGGCTGAGCCCCCTGTAAAAGGATACAATCGCTTTTGTATTACTGATGAGCCAGTTCATTAGACATGCAGCCGGTCGGTGGCAGCCTGGCGAAGCTCGGCAGTGGCAGGCACGCGGGTCAGGCGGGTCAGCCCGGGTCAGCCCCGTAGGGTCCGTGTCACCCACTCTCCGGCCGGGCCGGGCCGGGTAGCCTTCCGGTGGCTAGTTCGAACCCTCCAGAGCGTCCAAGTTCCCGATGAGTGCTGCCCATCGTACTTCCAAGCGGGGGGCTTCAATAGGCTGAAGTTGGTCACTTTTTCCACGAGTGCAGCGGAGTGTGTGCGCGGGTCCCGGCGCGGCTGCTGCGCTAATCCTGTACCGGCCGTGCCCTGGGCGCCCTGGGCTGGGCGCCGTGGAGGCGGTGATAAGGGGACGTCCGGACACAAAGGCCTCCCTTGACGGCGGCCCAACAGCATGTCGTCTCTCTCGCACTCTCGGCACAGCCCGTGGGTGCGAGAGAGACAGAGCGACTCCTCGGAATCGGCGGGCAGGGCAGGGCAGGGCAGCCCCCCGGACGACCCTGGAGCACCGAGACGCCGTCGGTGACGCCGTCGGTGTCGCCTTGTGTCGGTTTATTTTCGCCTCGCCCGGTGACGGCGCGACGGGCGTCTGGACTGGATGGACAAAAGCCCCCGCCCCGCCCCGCCCCGCCGCGGCGGAGTGTCTCGGCGGGAAACCTTCCCGGCAGGGTGGACCAAACTGCGAAAGTGGGTCAGGCCGCGTATGACCCCTGCATCCTTAAAAAATATGAAGAAAAGGAACTGCACGCAGAAAAATAACTTAGCTGACCTGCTAATGTACCTTAGCAAGAGAGACTTAGCACAAGAACTAATATCCTTAGCTACATTGTGCAGACTTAGCAGCGGAAGCTAACACAACTTAGCAAGACTTGACAAAAATCTTAGCACAGAGGGTTTAGCGGTGGTGCTAATAAATTAGCTGCTGGCGCTAAGCTCCTATCATAGACAACATAGGGACTAGACGAGAAGCCAGCCTATGCTGCCGTGCTTTTGGCCTGTCCGGTTTATTGCCCCCCTTTGTGGCGTCCGAGGCGAGCAGTCCCGGAGACAGCCAGAGGGGATGAAGCGAGGGTGGCGGGGATTTTTATGACCGGTGTACGTGGTGTACTTCGGGAAGCTCCGAAGAGCTCGGCTCGCCTTCGGCTCGCCTATCCGCTCGTGCTCTCCGGGACTCCGAGCCAGCCCCGAGCGGCGCACAGCTGGCGGTGGGGAGAGCCGCCTCCTCACCGGTCGTAAAAGTCCCCGCCACCCTCGCTTCACCCCCTTTGGCCGTCTCCGGATCTCGAGCGTTTCGGACGCCACAGGGGGGCAATAAAAATCCGTTTTTTTATTGCCATTTCTTGTCTAGTCCCTATGTTGTCTATGGCTCCTATTGACTGATCATTCGACCCCAGCGTAGGATATGAGTCCTCCCTAACTTCTCTCCGCAGAAGGAACGGCAGTAGCCGAAGGGGAAAGGTAACAAGTCGGCAAGTAAAAGTCTGAGGTTTGAATACCGAAAATTTTCTGACTTAGTTTTGCTTGCTAAGGCCTTAGCTACCTAGCTAATATGTGCCTGCTAAGAATATTAGCAACTGGTGCTAAGGTATTAGCTGTCCATATACAGCTAAGATTATTAGCAAGGGCAGTTAAGAATTAGCAGCCAGCGCTAAGCATTTCTCTGCGTGTGGGGGCGCGGTCGGAGGAAAGAGGGAGTGTGGCATTGGGTTCTATTGGCGCACCTTTTGCCCCAACTGGTCGAGGAACAATGGGGAGCACACCGAGGCGAGGCGAGGCAGGGCCCAGGACGCCCCAGGTCGCCCCAGGTCGCCCCAGGTCGCCCCAGGTCGCCCCAGGTCGCCCCAGGTCGCCCCAGGTCGCCCCAGGTCGCCCCAGGTTCCCAGGCCGGGCGGCACCGCGTCGCGGAGTCTTCCCCGGGCGTCACCCAGTCACCCACCCCGTCTCTCCCGCGCAGCGAGTGCGAGAGAGACAGAGCAGCGAATGAGCTTTCCAGTGCCGCTGTGACGGAGAAGGGGTCGCGCCCGCCGTTCGGAAAAGTAAAATGCGGTGTAAATTTCCCGGCACGGTTCGGAGGAGCGGACGCGGCGCATGGCGGGCTGCCCTGGGGCTGCCGGCACGAGGATGTTTGCCCGCCTGCCTGCCCCGCCTCGCCTCGTGTTTGCCTGTTTGCTCTGGAAAGGCGATGGCGTTAGGTATGCCGCGCCGTCGCGACGGCCGAGCCCAGTTTTCGAAAGGGGGAAAAAACGCTTTCGCCGAAAAACGTCAAAAACGAGGCATTGGTGAAACTGTGGGCCGAAGTGCGTGCAGTTTACCGTGCGCGGTACAGTGGTTTGCGCGGTGTCCGGCGTTGCCCGTACGCGGTCGTCGCCAGGCACCTCCACTGGAAGGCCCAGCCTGCTTCCTTATCAAGGGGCGTGCGTGTGAGCGTGTGTGCGTGTTATCAAACGTTACCTGCGACACGCCCGGCCGGCCGGCCCGCCAGCCTCTTGAAATAACTACCCGTCTCGCCGTCGCCGTGGCCCTGTTGGCCCTGTTCTCGTCGTCGCCGTCCTGGTGGGCGTGTGTGGCGAGTGTCCCGGGTCAGGGCCTGGGTGGCGCAGGCGGGAGGGAGGATGCCGGGGAGGATGTCCTGGCCGACGTGCCGGGCAAACAAGGTGCTGATCGTGTTGACTCGCCTCTCCCTTTCTGGCCTCCCTGGCCTTTCTGGCTAGCCGAAGCGGTTTCGCGGTTTTTCGCGTCAACGGCTGCTCTGCTCCTCCTCACCTGGCCTCTCCCTCCCTCCCTCCCTCCAGCCCGCATAGCGCTCTCCCGCTGCACCAGCCGCCGCCCTTTCCCCCATTTCACTTACGCACACCTACGCACACACACGCGCACACTCTCCCGCGTACACCTGATGTCACGCCCTCTTCTGATACTGTTTATACCAGCCCGACGAAAGCAAACAAAACGAAACTAACGCCGCGCGCGTCGTATGCCCGCATGGCTGCATGGCGTCGAGGGGGGCCGTCGCTCTGTCTCCCTCGCACTCACGGGGCGTTCCGTAGGCGTGTGAGCGAGACGGCGCGACCAAGGGACTGATGAGCCTGCAGGGGGCAAGGCCCGCAAGGCTCTACGCAAGGCCAGCGAGCGCCCTGTGTGGTCTAGCCCTCAATGGTAATGGCAGCGTAGGCACTGCGCTGGACTCGGCAGTGGCTCGGCTGCCTACCCGCAAGGCGCTCGGCCTCCTCGCGCCGCGCCGCGCATCGCGTTGTCGTGTCGAACCTCTTCTCTTTCCTGCCTGACAACGGCCCTCTGTTTGTGTGTTGCAGCTCGACGGGGACGCCGCGGCCCGCCACCATGAGGAGGGCTACTTCGGCAAGGGTGAGTCATGCCTCCTCTCGGCGCCCGGGCTGCCAGTGGCTGCCAGCATGCGGTCGCGTCTCTCTCGCACCTATACGGGGCGCCCATGAGTGCGAGAGAGACAGAACGACTGTCGTTACAAAGTAACCCCAAAAATGCAGGCGGAGCTGGAGGCGGGCCGGTGTCGTTGCGGCCGTATCCGCTTGCAGTGAGGGCGCTGCTGTGGGTGGCCGGGTTGGCCAGCCCCCCTGGCAGCCCCCCTGGCAGCCCCCCTGGCAGCCCCCCGCGGGGCCTCGGCCCAGACTCGCCCCCCGCGTCCCACCCCTGCCGAGCTAACGGGGTGGGGGCTGCGGGGGCTGCGGGGGGCGCCGCGAATAGTGAGTCCTGGTGGAGCCTTGAGTCTAGAGACGCCTAGCCGCCGCCTAGCGCAGCCTGATGCAGCCCGATGCAACGGCCTTGACGCCAACCTGCTTGCCGCCACGCCGACTGGCGACGGGCCTTCTGGGGGGCGCCCTGTCCTCCTGAAAGCACTCGGTTTGCCTTGCCGACGACTAACCCGACCTAACCTCTGCGAAGCATTGCATTTTTGAGCTGACCGCCAGAGAGCACTAGCACGACAACCACCCCCTGGAACGTGTGCGTGGTTGCCGAGTTGCAGCCCTTGTTGCTGCTTCCCTTTTAACTTTTGTGTGCGAAAATAAAATGCCTGTGTCTGTGGTCCCTGCTAGAGGCACTAACACTTTGAATGCGCCGCGATCGTGCTGTGCGCGATTGACAACCGCACCACGGAGCGCGCGTATGTGCGCGCTAATGCCCTGGGTGTTGCCCTTGTTTGTTGTTTGTTGTTGCCGTGTTGACCTTGCTCTTGTCTGCCCGCAGCCCTCAGCGGGTTACCCCTGTTCGGCCGCAGCTCGCCGGAGGCCCCCTCACCAGATGAACAGGTGCGCGTTTATAATTTAAAAAAAAACAAAACTATGTTATGTAAAAGTGGGTTGTGTGGCTCATGCTTCTTTCTTTCCTTTCGAATTGCAGATGCGACAGCACTGCAGCCAGCTGGAGTCCACCGTCCAGCGGCTGCTGCAGCAGCTGGAGGAGGTGTCGGAGACGAGGGACAAGGAGGCGCTGGAGCTGGCCACCCTGAGGCGCGAGTTGCGGCTGCGCGGCGCGGGCGACTCCGGGCCCGGCTCGGCCTCGGGATCCGCTTCCGGCTCCGGCCCGGGCTCCGGGCACAGCGACTCGCCACAACTCCCAGGTAAAAATTTGACGCTTTCCAAAGACAATCGGCGTGGCCCATAAGAATCGTTTGCAGATACGCGAAATTTTAATGCTGCTACTTTTAGGAAATTTAGCAGAGTTTACAGTGTTTAGACTGTGGGTGCAGATATACACATTTAGTCCTCCAATCGTTTTATACTCAATTTCCCCCCCATTCTACATTTTTTATAGCTTTTTCATTTATCAAGAGGGATTTCATTCATTGGGGTGAGTCGCACGCATCTCTTGTGTAGAAGGCTTTGGTTCATGGACTATAGTTAGCCTTGTGGCATTGTTCAGTTTTTGTGTGCTGTGTGATTATGTCAATGCTTGAATATTATTTGTTTTTTCTTAAAAAAAAAAAGAAGTTTCCCTCTTCTACACAAAATTCTTATTTCCAAACTGAGCATGGCAGCTTTCCTGTACGTAGCACGGACCCGTGTCCCATCAGTGCAAGTTCAGCTTCAACTGTTTACAGTAGCTGCTGAGTAGTGTTTCCTAAATTGCTCAAAATGAGAGCATGTGTCATAGTAAAATAATTGAGTTCTACTTTTTTAAATGTAAGTTACCCTATATATTATTTGTTACTTTTCTTCCAGATGACAGCGGACAGCAGGGTGCAGATGGCACTGGTGTCAGTCCAGCTCTTTCAGATGATGGTTTCACTAAATTAGATGTGAGTATGCTGTAATAAGTAAGAGAATAATGTGTATCTGTGAAGAAAGGCTAACAGTGTGTCACCCCCATTTTAATTTCAGCCCTCCGAAACAGAACTTTGGGAAGCAACTCAAGAACTCTCTCAAAGCTTAGAGGCTCAAATTGAGCTGCATAAGAGGGAATTGGAAAAATATCATCAGGTAGTTAAAGTCCTCAAATTTTGTTGTTTTTATTCCTGGTTTATTTAAACAAGTATTTAAATAAATACCATTGTTGTATTTTGTACATTTCAGATGAAGCAAGATTGGACCTTAGAAAAATCAAATTTAGAAAACTCTGTTTCAAAATTGCAGAAGGAACTCAACGCTTTACAAGTATTTATTGTTTTAACCACTTTATTTTTACATGCCGATTTTGGTTCAAGGAGTAATGCATTGCCTCTTTTTGTATTAGGATTGGCAGAGTCCAGATCCTGATTTTGCCAATGAAAGTGAGGTGGAACTGAAAAAGACAGTGTCAACACTGCAGAAAGAGAATGAAATTTTACAAAAGCATGAGGTAAAATGTTTTTTATTGTGACGGGCAGTGTGATTTATTTGATCCCATTAACTTTTAAGTCATGTCTAAATCTAGCTTTTCGTTGTAGCTTGATTTGTCCCAGAGAATCAAGAGTTTGGAGGCAAATTTATCTGAGTCGGAAAAGGAAAGGGCTCAATTAGCAAGTAATGTGGATGAGCTTGATGCTCAGAATCAAGAGATACTCCGTAAGATTTAAAAGAATATAATTATGATTCTTTTTCTTATTCTTACAAGTGTTTGCAATATTTGTCAAATTTGTCTAAGTGAGGTCTTCTTTGTTTTCTACAGAACAATTTGTACAAATTAAACAGAGTGCGCAAGTCAAATATGACACTCTTAAATCCGAACATGACAAACTGTTGTCTCATGTTCAAGAGCTGGAGAAGGAAGCAGAAAACGCCCTATGTACACAGAAAGAAAAGGAAGTCTTAGCAGAAAAGCTAAGTTCTTTGGAACTTGAATTAAAGACTGTAAAGTCAGAACATGAGTTATTCCAACAAAGAAGTGAAGAATTGGAGAAAGATCTATCTTCTGTGGACACAGAAAAGCTTTCAGCACTTGAGAGTGAAAATAATGAATTGCTTTCAAAATGTCTGAGCATTGAATCAGAAAACCACAATCTTTTGGCAAAAATGGACTCCATTCAACTTGATTATGATTCTTTGGAAGTGAAGTACAGTACATTGGTATCTGAGAATGAGACTTTAAAAATGAAGTTAGGGGCTGTCCAATGTGACTTGGACTCAGCCAAGTCTGAACTCTCTGAGGGTTTGCGAGCTGATGAGCATAATACATCTGAACATAGCACCACTGAATTGTCCTCAATAGAAAGGTATGTGATAGACAAGCTGAGAAAAATTGTTAGCTTGGAAATACCTGTGGAATATTGTAAGGACATTGCAGAGAAAGACGAGGCCTCTGGAAAAGAATTAGAGGATCACCTTGATATGGTTGCTGCTCTCGTTAAGATGACAGTAGACTTGAGGTGGAAAAAAGACACTCTGGAAAGAAACTTAGTGGAGTACACACGACAACTTAGGGACCTATCTGCCCAATTGAGTGGTAGAGACAAGCAGGTAAGCAAACTCAATTTATTTAATAAAATTTAATTTAGAAGTTTTCTTATTATCTTAACAGAACTTTTCCCTTTTTCTACTGTAGATTGCCAAACTTGAAGAGGAGTGTGTCATGCTACGAGAAAATATGGAGTCGTTACTTGATGGTTTAAACGTAGCTCCTGAAAAAGGCATGTTGCCTTCCATTCCAGAAACTTCAGAAGCTGGAGAGGATGACCTCTTAGACTCTGCCTCTGGCCTTGAACAGCAGGGGGCGCAGCAACGAAATGAAGAGAGAGACTTTAATAAAACTATTGAAAAACTGGAAAGTGAAATAGAAACTTTAAGGGAAGCGCGCTCCACCCTCGAGCATGAAACCAAACGTTTGAGAGGAGAACTACAAGAATTATCATCTAGGCTACGCTCATCTGAAAGTATGCTTCGAAACCAAGTAAGTATTGGAAACTTTGTAATACTTCCAATTTTTCTTTCTGTTCTGGTACTTATTTTTACTTTCCCTTTCAAACAGGACAATCTAGAAAAAGAGGTCGAAAGATGGCGCAAGGAGTGTGAAAATCTTCGGAGTACACAGAGTGAGCTCCAAAATGAAAATTCACAGCTGCGAGAGGAAGCAGAAATGGCTCGATTTGGCCAGGACAGTCTGCAGGCAGAAGTTTCAGAATGGAAAACGATTGCAGACACAGCTACTCTAGAGGGGCATAATGCCAATCGGGCCAAAGAGCTGCTTGTCGCGGAAGTAGCTGAACTTAAAGCCCGTGTAACTGCATCTGACTCTCTCAGTTCTCAGTTAGAGCAGGCTTTGAAAAAGAAAAGTACGCTAGAGGCAGAAGTGGCCCAACTTCAGAATAGTGTCAGTGCATTAGAAGAATCAAACAAAAGCTTAAGCAAAGCTAATCACACTATAGAAGAACTGAAATCAGAAATTGTTGATCTAAGACAAGAGCTGGCAAAAAGCAAGGCGGATTCTACAGCTGATGATAAGGTTGCAGAACTGACCAGTAAAATAGAAAGTCTTGAAACACAGAAGAGCAATCTGGAGCATTCTGTATCAGAATTAGGATCTGAAAATGCTGGCTTATGTGAACACATCATGACCTTGCAACTGAAGTGTGACAGCTTGTCAGCTGATTTGGCTTGTAAAGCAAGTTCTGAATATGACAATACTCAGAACTTCCTTCATGAAAAGCAAGCACTTGAAGAACAAGTGAATAGAATGACTTGTAATTATGAAACTGTTAAAAAAGAATTTGGAGAACTGTCCAATTTAAAATTGACCCTTCAAAATGAGCTTGAACAATTACAACAAAGTTTTAAAGAAATAAGTGAAGAAAATGAAAGGGCTAAGGAATCTTTGCAAGAAAAATCGGTGAATGAAACTTTAATCAATCAGCAACTGGAGGCAATAAGTGCTGCCAAAAACGCATCTGAACAAGAAGTTACACGTCTGCAAGAGGAACTTCAGAAGATGCGTAATGCACCTTCTCAAACTGCAAATGATAACTCTCACATAGTTGAGTCACTAGAAAGGAAATTGCACTCGATGCTGGCAGAAAAAGAACAGATTCTGTCTGTTCTAAACGAGAAAACACGTGATAATGGTGTCTTACGTTCAGAGAATCAAAAACTTTTAGAAGCTGTATCAAGTCAAGCAGGAAATCGTTCAGCTCTACCTTCATCTGATCAGACAGGGCAATTAGTTCAACAGTTAAACCAACTGCAAGTAGAGAGGGATCAGCTTATTTCAACTGTCCAAGTAAGGTTTTAAACTGAATTTTCACTCTGGTCTATAATCAATTCTTCACCATTGATGCAACTCATTTGTTTTTGTCTCAGATAAAACACAATGAGTGCCTAAGATATCATGCTGAAATTGTTCGGCTGAGTTCACTCTTGGATCAAAGGGAGCAAAGTGATGCTCATCAACAAACTCGGCTAGAGAATGATGAAAACAAAAACGTTGAAGTAAAGGTATGTATTTTCAACGTCATTTCAGTGTATTCTGTGTTTAAGTGTTTATAATTTTTTTTAAATTGTAAATTTCTTTCATAAAAAAACAACAAAAAAAAAACAACAAAAAAACAGACAACATTGGTTGGTGATTTATCAAGTAAAAGTCCAGACGTTTTAGCTCTGGAAGCAAAGTGCGCTGAACTTGCTGCTAGTCTTCAACAGGGTCAGACCCAAAATGCATTTCTTCAGAATGAGGTAAAGCCGGCCAATCTGAGTTTTGTTATTTTTATTTGAGGCTATTTCAAGTGCTTTGTACTATCCAGTATTTTGTATCTTTCATATAGATGCAAGAGCAGCATGAGAAAGAAGGCATCCTTACACGAGAGCTGGAGCGTTTACGTGCTCATTTGATGGAAGTGGAAGAAACCTACACTGCTGAGGCATTGCGCCTCGAAGAACAGGTTCAGGATCTTCAAGGAAAATTGAATATAGCAGAAGATAGACTCAGAAATGTTTCCACAGCTCATACATCTGCCAGGTTAATTATTTTATCTTGTATAGGATTAGACTTGCACAATTCAATACTAAAAAAAAATAAAAAAATAAAAAATGTTATGTTTACAGTATTCTTGCAAACCAGCATGTGGAGACCCTTCAGGGTCAATCTCGGCTCATTGGTCAACAGAGGGATGAACTCCAGTCAAAACTTGGTGCAGTTGAAGACCGTGAACAGAAAAATGCAGCTGCTTTGCGTAATTTGCAGGCGGTCCTCGAGCAATTCCAAAGAGGTAAGTTTTATTTTAACTTCACACATATTATTTTACAACTTGAGATATCTAAAGAGATTTTGTTAATGTAGATAAGGAGCGAGACTTGGCATCTATGACTGAAAAACTAAGACTGGAACTGCAAGCAGCTCACAGGAAGCACAATGAACTCTTTGAAGAAATCAAACTTCTTAAGGTACAAAATCTATTCTATCAATAAGACCTATAAAATTTTGTTTTTCACTCGCACAAAAAAATTATTTTTGGTTTAATTTTTGAAATTATAGAGTCAGCTGACTGAGGCAAAGGAAGGGTTAAGTGCAGCTGCAAGACTAGGTGCACAATTGGATAAGAAATCAGAGACGATTAACTCACTAAAAGAACAGAGTAAGTACAACAGTATATTTAAAATCTTGCACGAAAATTTGAAATAATCCATTCGCTAAATCCATTGCGCTTGGGTTTATAAATAACTTCACCTTTTATGATATTCCTGCTTCAGTCATACAGAAATTCTTAACTTACTGCATGATGTTATACTTGGTAAACTTTTAAACCTAGAGTATTTATTCTTATTACCACTACCTGTATTTATGGATTGTGGATGATGATTCTAATTTTGCTTATCAAAGAAGAGCTTGGACTTTCTTTTGAAGGCTTGGTTAGTACGGTATTTTTAGGTTGTTAATTTGGGTCGTAGTGCCAAGCTAACTCACCATTGCAGCGGAGCAGAAGTACAAGTTGGATTCTTCACTTTGCTGGCTTCAGGTCAAATATCAGCTGGTAATTCTGGGTTTGCATGTTAAACTCGCCCAGGTTGCCTGTTGGTATCAGACAGGGAGTTGGCTAAATCCTCGCATGAACTCAACTCATCTTTCTGTTGCAAACCTTTGCTATCATCTTTTGTAGAATTAGGAGTAAACATACAATATAGTAATTTTTGAATTTGTCCTGTTTAGAAAACATGTATTGACTGTAACAACTTGATAGCGTTGCTTGGCACAATGATTGTAGAACTAAGAAAAATTATTAGGATAAAAATCAAAAGTACTAAACATCTTTAATTAATTTTTTTTCTTCTTTGAAGTAAGTTGTATTTTTCAGCTCTACAGCTTCTGTTTCTTGCTGCAAATGCTAACTGTGTAGTTGATACAGTATCCTGGTACTAATGTCCAACGCATCCAACAGTTGAACTGCCTTCAGCTTTTGGTGAGGCCTGCGTAATCTCATGTGGTAACTGTGAGTTGTTATTTCACCTCAGGGTTCCGCGTGAGGTTGCCTTGTCCTCACCTCTCCTTCCTGCTCCTGCTCGCAGAACATCCGCATGGCTGTCTTGTGAAATAGTAGAGAATTGTTTGCTTCATTTCTAATTTCTAAAGCAACGTAAGAAAGCTTCCCTTTGTTTTTTTGATTTTCTGAGCTGAGGAAATTTTGTTATCTCATGTATTTATGTATGTATGTGTAGTATGCTGCTGTGTGATGTGAGGTTTCATTCTATTTGAACTCCTAACAATTAGAAAATAGAAGTCTTCTTTGTGGTTCGGTAATGCTTTTTATGCCATATCCACTACTTAGACAATCTCTCTTTGGTGGATCACATTTATCATTTAAGCTATGAATTTTGTCTTTGTCAAATTCATTTTCTTTCAATGCTTCAGCTTTCTTGCTTCACACTGCTTCTTTGATTTGACATTTAATTCATTATTCATTGTATGGTAGCCTATTTTGAGAAACCAGAAACTTTGTTGAAAGTATGAACGTTCTTGGTGGATCTTGTGGCTGGATCTGTCCTGTAATGACATTAACCTGGAGCATTGAGCATTTGTTTGCAAAACTTTCACTGGAGTTCAGAAAAGTACTCAACCAAAAAGGGATAATGCCCCAAAGTGAGAAGGCAAGCTTTCTGAATCTGAACTCTAAATCTAATGTGAATTTGACTGTCTTAAATTATGTAATTTAGTTCTTTACATTCCTACTGCTTATTTAGTATATTGTCACTTGTTCCTGCATCAAGTAATTGAGGGAGATAGCTAGCTCTAATTTTGATATCATGGTATGTGTTGCATCACTTGCTCAGATAATTATAGTACAGTTAAGAATTACAAGGCTTGTTACTGTGTGTAAGAAAGTGTTATCTGACTGATATTTGATCTTACCTAGTATTATGAATTATATAATTGCACTGCTTGTCACCAAAGTAGACATGTTTTTATTCAGTGTACTGTGTAGCAAAATGCAGGTAGTCACCTCACGTTGGACATGGCATGTGCTTCGGTTTGGACTACATGGGTGGTGCGTGGTGTGAGTATTACATCAGGTACTGGTGTGCATGCAGTCTTAGGGCCAGTCCCTGTGTTATACTTTCGCTGCGCCCACCAAATTCTTCTGCTTCGCCTTCCAAGGATCATCAAATAGTAGATCATTGCTCTGTTAAAGTTGTTTTTCTTTGTTCAATAATAAACATTATTATGCACACTTCTATTGTACCTTTGTATTTATAAATATTTTTTGTAAGTCTGTTAGTACATTACTTTAAGGTCTGTGTGCGTGCTAAGATATCTGTTCATAAACCCACTTTCTCTACTGTCGACCAGCACATATGCTCACAAACGCAACCCTTTCTGTCATTCCAACCTGAGTTAGCTCATGAAAAAGGACCGGTCTTTCTTTATGATTAGCGACAATGCTTATTGGGCATGCTTTTCTGGTTGAATGACGGTTAATGATGTTATTTTGATCAATATGTATCATATTGGCTACTATTTAACTTATATTCAACTAATACATTCCAATCCATTTCTTTGTGCAGTCTCTCAACTACAGAAGGAGATAAAGGGAGCAGAGGAAAGAGTTAAGACGGCGAGTCAGAGTGTGGAGGGGAAAGTTGACAAGTGAGTGTCGTTAAAAAAGAAATTAATAGTACTTGTCTGCATGATTCAAGCGGTATTACAAAAATCTGACATTTACAGATCCCTTGTGAAGAATTTGGTTGTTGGTTTACTAACAGCTCCAGCAAATACTCGCAGTCCTGCGCTTCGTGTTGTAGCATCTGTGCTTGATTTTAATCTGGGCGAGAGACAGCGAGTTGGTCTAGAGCAGGGCTCTGCTCATAATGAACAGGTAAGCCTCACTAGCTTGCAGTGAACCTTACTATTGTTTAAAGGGTTTGCCCCAAATAATTAATTTCCTAACCATATCTTTCAGTCCTTATCTGAAGCATTTGTGCGCTTCCTGGAGAGTGAGTCTAGACCTCAAATGCAACTTCGGTTACTACCAGAGGCCAATCCCAAACCTAATGCTGATGCAAAGAAGGTATGGATGAAAATCATTGATTGCCATCACAATTTTAAAGTACATCCGTTTAAAGTATCGCTATTTTTGCTTATTTATATTATTTCAGGACTCACATGGGAGCAGTACAGCTAATGAAAGTCCTGTGAGAAGGTCACCGTTGCTATCAGAAGTTGTGTTACCCACACTTGCTCCTCTGCCTGTTGGGCGTAGTAGTGGCAGCATTCTCAAGGACGTCCTTAAAAATGATGTGTAAATTTACTTAATGCCAACTTGAAGTTGGCTTGAAAGCTTTATGTGGAGATGTACTGGTACTGAATGACACCATTTGGGTGTCAACTTTCTCATGTGATAGCAGTGACTTGTATTGAGGCCAAAGTGGTAGCTTCCAGGTTTCTTGATTATAATGTGATGGTTGTAAGTAAAAAAATTCTAGTTATTGTGTAATATATATGTAAGATAAGTTATATTTATTTGATCAAGATTTGTTCAAAACTATTATGGGAAAAAAAAAGCTGGTATTATATTTTAGATAAACTAAGTAACCAATTGTATAAATGTGTTTTTAAATATCATCAGTATTGAGTTTGTATGTATGTATAAAGCTATATAAGCCTAGACGGAATATGAAATAAAATGATTGTTTTCAAGAAATTTTTAATAAATGTTCTCCGTACTGTCAATTTAGTTTTATTTGCCTTCACCCTCTACCACACTTAAACAGGCTTTATTGGGCGGGCCATAAGATCAAAACACAACGCAAACACATCCTGTTAGTAAGGACTTGCGGCTTGAGCACTCCCCAATGGCTCCGCCCTATACAGTCTCGAAAAAGAACAAAAAAATTTCTGATGATTTGAGCCTACACCTAAAAGATAGGCAACCCATCGTCCACTGCTCGTAAAAAGGAAAAGCAAGGTAGCAGGAACAGCAACAAAAATTATTCTGAGAAGGTTTTTATTTGTAATTTCTCCACTATTTACAATCATTAAATTACACTTTACAACAGTATTTAATATGTAACAGAGGGTAGAATAAAAAGATAATTAACACCGTATTTACATTAATTATTTGACTTATTTACAACCAACTTAAAACTTGTGCTCCCCCCTGTGGCCTTGACAAAAACTTGTTACATACCTCCAGCACTCCTGTGGATACTATCATTTGTTTTCCCTAATCATGCTCTTAAACCGCACACTTTTCACAAACCTTCTGAAAATATAAATACATCTGGCAATTATACACAGCTTCTTTGTGCAACCACATTCATTCCGATTTTACATAGCTCTGCATATGAAGCTGAAGAAAAACATAGGTAAGTGCACAATCGACAAGTGCCATTTTCTGACTTCACTGCAGCGACAGAAGATGCACAGTTTAAAAAGAAGACTAGTAGAATATTAGCTTTAGTTTTCAGTTTACAAACACAATATTTTTTGTTGTTGCAACAATAAGCTACAATATGTTTGAATAAATATATGTTGATAGCTCTCTGAATTACAACTGCTGTGGCACCTTTTCACAGCAGTATAAAGAAATGTTTGAATGTTTGGCTGCTAACTCAACAAAAAGCTAATGTGCCTTTTTTCTTTTGCTCACAGTGATTTGGGGTCAAAAGTGAAACTAAGATTTAACAGATTCCAATTATTTCAGGGTCTTTTAATTATCTATCACAGCCATTGTTCTGAAATATTTGAGTTTCTGCAGCTTAACAACATCAAAAACCACTACCTCTCCATACAGAAAAAAAGATTGTTTCTAGTGAGATTCTAAGCTCAATACATTAAGTAAATTGCTCTCTTTATTTGATTCAGGCATATTTCATCTCAGTAAGTTTTACACATCCAGTCAAGCAAGTCAATTGATTCTGTTGCCTTCAGTTCATAATCATATTTCATCAAAATACTTCCATCAAAATCAGAGTGTAACTACCAGTGAATATAAGTAATGATGCACTGAAAGCACAAATCTAAGATTTTACCATATGAAATGGACAGCATTCATTCCACCTCATGAAAGTATGAGATTGATTGAAAGAAATCAACTGACCTTAACGAAAGTGCAGAGGCTGCTCACAAAATAAAACTTGTGTATCCAAGCTATTTGGAAGACAAAGCAGGATAAAATTTTCTTGTCATAAAAAGTTCGTCAGAAAATTATAATTATTTTGATTGGTGCTCCTCAAATTATAAAATAGAAGACCAAATATTTTCCTCACAAGGGTTTTTGTTGTTGATCAAATATTGAGGCCAAGAGTGTGAGTGAATGCTGAGAGGGAAAGAAATCATTATGTTATAGAGTCTTGTACAAAGAAACTACCACCAGCGGATACACAAGACACCTTATAACACATAACAAACAACAATAAATATGCCTCTGCGACGTTTTGCTACCTTCTACCCCTAAGTTCGAAATATTCTTGACATCAGACAAAATATATTAATAATACTAAAGATTGAAGCAATTGCTTTTCATTAAAATTAAGATAGTTACAACTCAGGAGCACTGGTTTCAGGAGAGCAAAGATACAGTTACACAATCGGTAAAGAGGAAGAAGAATTGATGTCTAGTTGAGTACTTTAAGAAAACCTTACCATTGGTGTTGACTTAAATAAGTGTCAGTTCCATTTTAAATAATTTTCTGGTATAAAAACAGAGCACCCAAATGATTGTACTTTAATTTTAATAAAATTTGAATAATTGACTATTATTTTTTTTCTCTCACTAGTATTTATGTCTAAGGTCTCAAGAGCATGCCAGTTTTTGAAGATGGAGAAATGACAAGTAAACAAACTGCAGTAGTATGAACTCCCTTACAGAGTATATACATTGTTATGTATGGGTTATTGAGATAGGACTTACTGGTCATTTCAGTTAAATGATTTTTCACTTTCACAGTTGGTTGTTTTGCACGAGTTAATAATCTTTACAGCCCTCTATTATTTTTTTTACAAAGGCAGTGAGGGTACCTTACAAGCTGTCAAAGACACAAGATTTCACTTCAACTAACACCAAAGAGGAACATTCCTAGTTCGTTCAATAATATAGGACACATCTAGCACACTTCAGTTTTAACTGTCTTGCACAGTAAGGAAGACAACTCATGCAGAAAGTTTTAGAGTTTGACTCAAAAAATGTTTGCAACCGAACAGCATTATTCACAGCCAGAATGAGACCTGCTAACAAGTAACCTATCATAAATGCAGAGCCTGCTGCAGTATGATGATGGGCCTTGAAGGTAATCTACCTATTAATCTCACAGAACGCTTAAGCTAATCACTTCACAACAATTTGTGTGAATGTCTAAGACTCGTCTACAGCAAGGTCTTGCTGTAGAGGACGCCACTCTCGATGTTTATCAGACAGCCAAGCACAGAAAAACATCACAAAACAACTTCATATGGTGGAATTAAAGTCAGTATTTCTTCTCCATTTTGTACTACAGAATACACTGTCGGAAACTCAGATTCCCGAGTTCGGTGGAAGATTCGATGCGGAACTAACCACCACCATTGTAGGTTTGACAACGGCACTAAGGTACTGAGGGTTGACAATAGGCACAGTCTTGATCAGCGGTGCCATCTGAAACAAAAGGGCATTTGTTTAGAAATGAGTCATCGGACAACGTCTCAAGGCTGCCTCACGAGTTGAAACTCACCTTGCCGATGGGGCTGGTGGCAAGGATATGTGTGACGGGACTGCCCTGCGACATGACGGTGACCGGGGTGACCAGCGGCGAGAGTGAGGGGTGAGTGGTAACGACGTGGGTCACGTGCGTGGGGATGGAGGCGGAGCCCGGGTGGACCGCCGCGGTCAGAAGGTGCCCGTTGGTTTCTGCAAGAGAACGAGGAGTGGTGCCGGTCAGTGAGATGAAAGGCGCGCGGGAGGGGAAGGGCCGGAAGGGCGTGATGGGGATGGGGAGCCCGTGTCGGCCTTGGCGCCCGCGGACTCCAGGGTAGACCCGCCCGCCGCACACGAGTGCTTTGGGGGGCTGCCTACCCTCGAGTCCGCGGGCGCCAAGGCCAAGGTGGCCAAGGACTCCCCCACGCCTGGAAGGTGCCGATCGGTCGGGTCCACTGCGAAGGCAAGGCGATTGCGCGGACTCACCGTTGCCAAGCTGCAGCCCCTTGCCGTTGCACAGCACGCCGTGTGGCACGCCGTGCGGCACGCCATGCGCGAGAGGGAGGTCCGTGGCCGGCCTGATGCCATCGGGGGAGCTGGCCGCCGTCGTCTTGTGGAACATCTCGTTGGTGCCGACGACGGTGGCGATGCCGGTGGCGCCGACCATCACCTTGCCGGTGTGGCCCGCCGGAACGCTGATGGCGGCCGCGGCCGCGGACCCCAGCGCCCCCAAGGGTGCCCCCAAGGGTGCACCGGGCACGGGCCCCGCACCGCCCATCTCCCGCACCCTTTGGTGCGTCACCAGCGAGGTCGCGCCGTTGCCTGCCGAACAAAAGTTACAAAGTTAGCGCCGGCCGAAAGCATTGAACGGCGGGGAGGTGCCGAGGACGGCGACGTACTCGTGGCGTGCTGCGCGTGCTGCGCGTGCTGCGCTAGGGCGGCGGGCTCCAGCACCGCCAGTCTCTGGTTGGGCGGCGTGGCGATCTGCAGGATGGCGGGACTGACGCCCAGCCAGCGGCCGTTGTTGACGACCTGGACAGAAGAGCGCGAGCGCGTCAGCAGCGCGTCAACAGGGCCACTTGACCGCAAACCGCGGCCGTCGCGACACCGTCCGCGGCCTGCCGGCCTGCCCCAGAGAGGCCTGCCCCTCGTGGTGGTCGGCCTCCCCGCTTGCCTCTCGACTTGCCTGTCGGCCCTTCGGCCGCTCGGCCATGGCCTTGACCCTCACCTGCGCGGGCAACTGGATGTGATGCGACGCGAGCGTCATGGGCTGCAGCAAAGTGCTCGTGGTGGTGGTGGCGGGCGGACTGGTCCGGCTGTGCCGGTGTGGCGGTGACGCGCGCCCCCGCGACGGCGTGGAGCCCGGCAGGGTGGTGAGCGTCCCCACGGGGGAGCTGGGCACTCTGGACACCACGCCGACTGCCACGCCCAGCCCAGAGCTCGGTGCGGGACCCGGGCCGAGGTGTCCCGGGGGACTGGAGGACGAACTGGTGGCGGGGGACGCCACCTTGATGCTGTAGTTGTTGAGCAGCTTGGCGGGGATGTAGCCGCTGGAGGGTGCGGACGCCGGCGCGCCGTGGCCGCGACTCTCCTGCAGACATCAAGACGGCACCGCGTCAAAGCGACTTCCAGAATGCGAAAGGCAGAAACCCTGTTTTTATTGACATCAATTTTACACAAATTGGTTTAACTTACCAGGCTGGCTATTTTGTAGGCGCCCGAGTCTAACCTCGCGTCTGGTCGGGTGTCCAGCCGCGAGTCCAGCCGCGAGTCCAGCCGCGAATCTAGCCGCGAATCGTGCCGCGCTTCTAGCCGCGCGTCCAGCACGTGGCCGTTGGGGGTGACGCCGGAAACGCCCGTCCTGACGGGTACCACCGGGGACACGGTGCGCTGTGCAACAAGGAAGACGATGAGGAACTCGTTTTGTCTTTTCGAGTGCGGCGAGCAGACGAAGGACAGGTGGCACTCACGGGTCTGGGGATGGGGCTCTCGCCGCGGTAGCCGTGCACGTCCCGGGGGTTGGGCACGGCCTGCACGGCCTGCGGCTGCGGGCTGCAGTAGGGCCCCACACTGGGCAGGGCGCTGCTGCTGTCCGACGCGCTGCGCTGCCGCCCGCTGTGGAACGACATGGTGTCGTCGTCGTCGTCCTCGTCCTCGTCCTCGTCGATGATCATGCCGCCCTCCATCTCGGCTGCGGCAAGATGGCAAGTCAGCATCAGTTTGTCGCGAGCGTCGCGAGCGTCGTCAACAAGGCTGTGAGGAGACTCACCCGAGGCGGTGGACGTGGAGGCGGGCGACGGCAGGCGCACCCTGGCGCTCATCTCGGCCAGGGCCGCGTCGCTGCAGTCGGGGTACAGCGCGTTGATGTCAATGTGGTCCCACTGCGCGGCCAGGTCCTTCTTGAGCGCGGCCAGCCGCTGCTGCGCCGAGATCTTCTCGCGCGCCAGCCGCTCCATCTCGTGCTCGTAGTCGCGCTCCTTGCGCTTGAGCGCCGTGATGTACCGGTTGGCGGCGTGCAGGATGGACAGGTTGGAGCACTTCTTCTCCTCCTGGCAGGTGGGCAGTTGCCGCTTGAGCATCTCGAAGCACTCCTTGAGGTGCGCCCGCCGGTTCTTCTCCAGCTTGTTGTGCACCTCCCGGGTCCCGGACCTACAGGGCAAGCCGCGCGGCGCGTGTCGTTAGACAGAGACAGAGCACGATGATCCAACCGCGCTATTTTCGACCACCGGCGTTCCTTTTCTCCAGACGGCTAACACGTAAACAACTCACCCAGTTCTTCTCCTCGACTCCTGGCCAAGACCGTCGTCATCTTGGCTGCCGTTGCTCGGGCTGTCCGGTGCTGGGATGGCCACAGGGGTAGGGGCGGGGGTGGCGGGTTGCGGGGAGAACTGGTGCGGGGGCGGCGGCGAGCCCTGGGGGGCGGCTGGGGCAGGGGCGGGTCTGACGACGGGGTGGTGGACCGTGAGGGCGATGGGAGCTACCGGGTTGGGGGTAGTGCTGGCAGGGGGATGCTGCGGGGGGCTAGGCGCGGCGGTGGGGTGGGGTGCCGGGGAGTGGGGCTGCGAGTACGGGAGGGAGTGGGGGAGGGAGTAGGGGAGCGAGGCCTGGACGACGACGGGGTGTGGGCCGGGGGCCACGGGGAAGCGTCCATTCAGCAGCGGCACCGGCTCGGCGGAGCAGAAGGACGACGGAAACTCCTCGTGCGACGGTGGGGTTTCTTCTGGAACAGAGCCGAAAAGACGGGTCTAGAGTTACACACAGTCACAGTGCTCAAACATCGGCGATATCAGTGTGCCGCACCATGCCGCACGCCGCGCGAGTCACCCGATCGTATCCGCGCGGCACGGCGGCACCGCGCAGGCGCAGCGCTCGGCGCGTGGCGCCACCAATGCTAGCTGAACCAGTCAACCAGTCAACCGGCCAGAAGAGTCGTGTCTTCGCTTTGCCCCTGCCGCACTCGGGGTCGACTCGAGGGGCAATGCCAAAGGTGCGCGACAGACAGAGGGATGAACCGCTTTTCCGAAGGCACGCGGCAGTCCCGCGAGCAGCGTTGACGTGCACGGCCTCCTTCAGCGCGTCTTGTGGGAACACGCGGCACGCTGCACGGCCGGCCAGACGGACGGACAGACTGACGGCCAGACAGATAGACACACAGATAGGGATTCACACTCAGACAGACAGACACACACACGGTGCGGCCAACTTGATTCGCGGACACACTTCACTTCCCGGTCGGTTTTTGTTTTTAAGTCCGCTTGCCCCCTGATTAGCCGGTTGAATGGCTGAGGACTTTAAACGGGAAAAAGAGAGAGGGGGGGGGGGTGCCTGTCACATGGACGTCGAGGGAGGGGAGGGGGAAGCACCCGGGGCACCGCCCACACATCAGCAAACGGGAACGCGGGGCTCTTTGGGGGAGGGGGGGGGAGTCTCGACACCCACGAGGTCGCTAGGTCGGCAGGCGAGGCGTGTCGGGGCGCGGCGGGGCGGGCCTAGGGTGCCCACACAGTGATGGACTGATGCACTCCCCGTTCTGCCACGCCGGCCACGCGGACGACTGCATTGCGACAAAGGCTTTTCAGATCACGTTCCTTCGCGTCCATCTGTCCGTCCGCCCGTCCGCCCGTCGTCCACCGAGGCGATTGCTCGGCGCACTTGTTGTAGTGCACCAGGAAGTAGCAGTGCCCAGGTACTTTTCCCTGATCACCGCGCGCTGTGTGCATGTGTGCGTGTTTGCGTGCGTGAGTGAGCTGGAGTGAGCCACTGAGTGTGTGAATGTGAGTGTGTGCGACAGAGATGAGTCTGTGTGTGAATGTGTGTGTGGCGAATGACGCAGGCAGCACGTGGCCGCGCTGTCGCTGCGGGTTGAGGTTTTGACGTCGGCGGTGGTAAACAGCTCACTTGCTAGGCCTGCACGGCGCGGTGCGGCGCGGGGCGAGGTGGGGTGGGGCGGGACGTGGTGGTAGGGCGTGGCGCTCGCGCTGAGGAGGAGGCGGAGGAGGGGGGGGGGGGGGGGGGGAGGGGAGGAGGAGGAGGAGGAGTCTCGGAGCATCACATGGGGACAGCAATAAGCACTATTACGCGGCGACGTCGCCCATTCCACGTTGCGCGGCGCGGCGATAGGGTTACCGACACGTCGCCGTGCTTTCTGGAAGATTGATTGAGAACGACCGCGGGTGCGGCGGGTCGGCGGGGCGTGGGAACACTACTCGCCACGCCGCACTACTACCACGCCGGCGATGCCGGCGGTGCGTTGTCACGGGGTAAGGTGCACCACGCCGCCCGGCCGCCCGGCCGGCCAATCGGCTTTCGGCCGGCCTCTGTTGACCACTTCTAAAAATGTGTCACGGCGCCTCGGCGGCCACGGCGGCCAGCCGGCCGGCCCAACTACATCAGTGTTTACTGCTCCACGGCTCTTGCGTGCCGCCGCGCATCATCGCCGTGCCGCGCCGTGCCTCCGCGGTAATTATAGAACGACCGCGCGTTGTGATTGTGCGAGGGCGTGACGGCGTGGCGGCGTGGCGGCGTGGCGGCGGCGTCGCGGAGGACGGCCGGCTGACCCCCGGACCGGCGTGGAGGGAGGGGGCTCGCCGTCGTCGCGGGTCAACATGCCCGAAAACAAGGCGGCCCGCCACGCGGCTTCGCGGCTTCGCGGCCACGCGGCGCGCCATTTGCACTCTCGCACTTTGCACTGGACTAGGTCGGCGACGGCGACGGCCGGCCCACAGCCCTGCGAGGACGGCGACGGCCGCGGCAGCGGACCCGGGGCGTAACGTGACACAACCGCGGCGACAGAGAGGACCCTGTCGAAACGGCGCCTTGTCGCGCGGCCGTCAAGCCCGCTGGCACGAGAGCCACGCGGACGGGCCGCCACGCGCCACGCGCCGCCACGGCCGGTTTCGCATTCGTTGGGGTGTATTTTTGATATTTATTTGGGGCAGGCCCGGCAGGCGCTCGCAGTGGTATATCCTCGTGTTTCACCCCGCTCCGCGCTCCGCCCGCACCACGGCAGGCTCACGCAACAGGTAACAGGTGCGGACACCCCGGAGCCCGTCCCGTCCCGTGCCGTCACGTACGGCCGCCACGTGCAGGCCTGCAGGCCAACAAGGTTACTTTTGTGGGGCGAAACTGACGTCAATGTCTGGGCAGAAGCGAGTCGAGCCGGTGTGCGTTTAAGCTCCAGGCGCTTCGACACCTTGGCCTCGTCAGTGTACCGCATGCACACCGAAGATGGGAGAGATAGAGCGACGAAGCACTGCAGTCAACGCCGCCCCCGCGCAGCGCGCAGCTCTGCCGACCCATCTCGTCCATCTCGTCGCACTTTTCCTATTTTTGTGGCCGATACCCGGGCCGGCCGCTGGCTGGCTGAGGCCGGCGGCGGGGGGTGCGTGGGGCCTTGCGCGACCGCAGAGCGTCCCTCTCCCTCCCCCTCCTCCTCGTCGTCCACCTCGTGGCCGTTGCTGCGGTGGCTGCGGCCAGACTGACGAACGGACCAGCGGGCCGCCAGCACCACTGCGCCCAAAACCGCCATTCACAGTCGCCTCCAGGCTAAGCCGAGTGCTTTCGTCACTCCGTCTCTCTCGCGCCCACACGAAAAGCCCCGAGAGAGCGAGAGGGACAGAGCGTCGAAAGCTCTGTTCGGAAGCAGCCCGCAGCAGCAGCATCGCCTTGGCGGCCTGGACAATTTGGCGTGACTGGCGCGGAGGCACGGCGCGCGGCGCACGGCCCGCGGCTATGGCGTGGCGGCGGCTCTGGCATGGCGTGGCGGCTGGCGGCGGGAGGTGCGGGGGCAGTCACCTCTCCACGCCGTCTCGACCGTCTCGGCCGTCTCGCCACCATCGCCGCGACCAGAGAGACTCGCTGCGGAATGGCCCGGCGCGGCCCCGCCTGCCTGTTCGCTGTTCGCTCCAACGCACTTGCGGTCGATGTAAACAATTTCCTCCGCCCCGCCCGCCGCCTGCCGCCGCCCTGTCCCCGTCGGCATGCCGCCGGCGAGCGAACGCCGAACGGTACCGCGCGGACACGCCGATCCACCACGGGGCCGCGGGCCGGGCCCTCCTTTGCTCGCCTTCGCTGCAGGCGGCGTCGCGGCGTCCTGCACCGTCCTGCACGTTTCCGAGAAGACCGATTCAAATTCACCGCCATCCGGCAGCTCCGCCGGAAACAGTCTGGGAAACAGTGCGCCGCCGCACCAAGGACGGGCCAAGACCAGGCCGTCAACGCGCGAAAATCAGCAAAACAAGTCTTTTTTATTTTCATGTTTACTCCCATGGGGTCCACCGCAAGAGTTGCTCACATACCGGCCGGCCGCCGCCGTCCACCACACCACGCGGGAGGCCGGGAGGGGGGCGCCGGTCTTCTATTTGCTCCGCTCCTCTTTTATTCCTGTTTGTTTACCGCCAGCATCGCCAGCATCGGGTCACTGAAGGCCGCCCCTTCCCCTCCTCCTCGTCCCCGGGGGCGGCGGTGGCGGGGGGCGGCGGCGGGGGCGGTACACCTTGGCGCGCCTTGGCGTGGCGACCGGCGGCGCCCTTTCCATCCCTTCCTCCTGGGCCTGCAGTCCGGGTTGCCAAGGCTGGCGGCGGGCTGGCGGCAGTTCCGGCCGGGACTGCGTGAGGCGGGGCGGGGCAGCCCAGGGCAGCCGAGAAAACCAAATCGGGCGGCCAGTCCAGCTGGCAGCATGCGCCGGCCGCCGGGCCGCCGGGCCGCCAGCCCAGGCCGGACAGCGGCCGGGCAAATCAGGTCAATGACAAGGCAGAAACAAAAGCAAGCCCCGCCGCCACGCCACGCCCCGCAGCGCGGCGCAGCGCGGAGCCCCAAGGCCTCGCCCTGACCTGGCCCAGGCTGCGCGCAGGCACCAGGCACGTCGCCGTCGTCAAGTGCAGGCGCGTGGCCGTGCGGCCGCGGGGCCGGCTGCTGGCGGCACCGCGGGGGGCACGGGCTACGCTACGCTACATGCTGCCTCTGCCTGCGGCGGAAGGGTCTGGCGTCGACGGGTTGATGCCGCCGGCCAGCCGGCCGCACGAAAAATAAAATATCCGCCCGCCGCGCTCTCTGCTGCACCCACACCGCGCACGCCGCGGCCAAGGAGTACGCGGCGGTGAAGCGGGGCCCGCCGGCCGGCCGCAGCGCGCCGCAGCGCCGTCAATGCCAACAGCACGCTGATTCCGAGTGGCAGGTCTCTCTCTCGCACGCACTGGACGCCCTGTATGGGCGCGAGAGAGACAGGCCGACAAGACAGCCTGCAGAGTGACACAAAAGCCTCTCGGCCGTGGAGGGGCGTAGCGAACAGCAAGCAGGGCGGAGCAGGGCGCGCCTCCGACAGGCTGACGCACCGGCGCGACTCAAGGCGCGCCTGGGCGTGATGGAGCCTCCATCTTGGAGGTCGACGTGCAGGGCGAGAGCGAGGACCAGCAGCGCCTGCCTGCCACTCGGCGTGCCGCCCGCCGGATGCCGATTCACTCCAAGCCTCTCCGGATAAAGAACGGCAAGCGATTTCGCAGAGTATCGCTCGCACGCTCGCTCGCACGCACACACAAGGCGCGCTGTCGCGGAACGGCGCGGAGCGGAACGGCCAGCATCCCTTGCTTGTCCGCGCGGCCACGCCGCCACGCCGGCACGCCGGCACCCGATCGTGCCGAGATAGCCTACACCGCAGGATTCCAGTGTCACATGGCGCGGGGCGGGGCGGGCCGAGGCGACCGTGACATTCGAGAGGAACGC